CACCGTTAAACTTCGAGACTCTCCAAAAATCTCCAATAATTCAGCAATCGTTAATTACATTTCGTAATTTGTTATTCCGGCATTACATTCCGTCCGTCCACGTGTAATATTAACGTACATAATTTACAGTTGCTGCAACAATTGCGATAATTTGTGCAGTGCAAAAATACCGCGCAAAAATACCTCGACGTAAATAATTACAAACGATATAAACAATTCGATAGGTATATTCGATTATCCGGCGGAGAAAAGCCGAATTTCGCGTCATTGTAATATGAGCGTGCGAGGCGCGCGCGTGTGTGTGTGTATGTGTGTGTGTGTCAGGAAGCCTTCTTCGCCCGAAAATATCCTATTAAACAAACCGTGACGGAAGACTTTCAAGCGCAATCCTCCGATCTGTATATTTGTAAACTTGTAAATATGCTTACTGTGTCGGTAGACAGGTTAATCCGCGATTGTTTAGATTTAGTGTCAAGGAATAATATCTTTGGGAATGCACCTTACGTCGCTTTTCTCTCTTTCTCTCGCTCGTAATAATTTCTACATTATGATTTTACATGATAATTTGAAACTAATTATGCTTCATATTATTTTAATTTCCGTCCCTTTTGATTCTTATTCATTAAATTATATTTGTATCTACAATTTGTAAATATTTACAGGTTTGACTATATGCAAACATGCGTAGTCAAACCGACATACGATATACACACCATTTTACACGTATCACAGTATTCACCAGTTCGAATAATTTTTCGAGAGATACGATTAAGCGAGTGAATAAATATTCTGCGCATGCACACGCAATCCCTTTGAATTTATTACTTTAATGAAGTTAAAATCGTATAACAAATCGACCGCTAATAAACGAATTTATTATCCAAAAGATATCGTTCGTCAGGTTCAGTTCACGCCAGTCCATTTCGCCGTCATCTATGTTTTCCACTACTTTGCCGTATATTGTGCAAACCTTGCGAATTCCTTCGTCTCGCTATTCTCGCGCATATATGCGACAATCGTCTACGAACAATCACTCCTTATACGTTGTGTCGCACCTCGTAGGATCGCCTTACATTAACGTGTCTTACGTCGTCTTGTTACACAAGTTAATAGCACCAACAAACGATAACAAACGATACATTTGTGTGACACATAATTACGTGTACTTATTATGCATATCGTAAAACATAATTTATCGTACCGACGCGACGGTCATTAAAAGAAGACTCGTTGCATAGATAAGATGCTTTTTAAAAGGCAAATCGAATATTCGAATGATATTCTTCATTTAATTTATGACATATCACTCATATTTACGAGATAGTCGCGTTATTTTTAACACGTAATTGTCACGTAAAAATCTTGAGTATAGCCAACGATAATTATGATCTTAGTTATTAGCATATTATTTTAATTACTTGTAACATCTGATATTTATTGATCGATATCAATGTTAATTTAGATTTTCTGTTGCATCGTTTAGCAATTAGCTAAATCAATTTAGCTTTTATTAATAGTAAATAAACCAGATAATTGTTGTAGCAGTTAAATTAATTTGTCGCGTTTCGATGTTGATCGTAACTTCCGGATATTTCAGACTAAAAAGCGGTTTTGTTCGTCAACGAACGTCACGATCGTCATCTCTGACCCGGGGACATCGAAGTAAAAAGGTCGCTTTAATTAAGGACGATAAAACAAATCGCGTTGTTGGTGCTTACGACCCTACCACCGTGGTTTCATTATATCTCGTCCGTCGATTATCGGTTTACGTTGATCGGGATTCCATCGATTCTTTCCGCGCGCACTTAAAAGTTCCCGCGGGTCAATAAATTCGTTAATTATATACGGGGCGAAACGGGTTATGCTGCTTCTGCTAGGGCGATCGCCAAACGATCGCTGAATAATGCATGCGTATACACGTATAGGATCATGCAACACCGATACACTTTAATGGCCGATTGAAACTTAATGAGGAGCCACGCCGGAAGATTGCCCGGTAGCGTATTTTACGAAGCCCCCAGGAGAGCCGCGAAGGCAGCGGTAATTGTTCCCTCCAAGAAATTATCCGACTAGGAGAACTGGCGCGTTTATATATATTCTACCTCTCTCTTAACATTCATCTTCGCCTCGATACAGTTTCCATCAGACACACACAACGCAACTGAACTCGCTAACACGGAAAAGATTCAAAATTTTCTTCCCAATAATTAAACCTGCAAAAATTTCGAGGGAACTCTTCAAGTTCCAAGACCGCTCGGAACTTTGCAAACGAGCTTTATGAGTTTGCATTAATATGCATCGCTTAGAGATAAACTTTTAATCTAGTTTATATACCAGTCACCTGATTTCTAATCCAGTTATCCAATTATCCGCGAGCGCTTTTATGCAAACTCAGTATGCCCGTCCACTTTCAGTTCTTAAAATACATTTTGAGTTAGCGCGAAATAATGTTATCTCGTTACATCACGTATCTGTACCTTTCGTTCGGCTATATGCTCTATCCGTAACAGCATTATGCAATGTAAACGAGGATTATGTATAACACAATACAATACCGGCTTATCTGTGAAAACCGCTGTACAACGCTGTCGTGTGACTAAACTAAATTGATAACGGGACGAACTGATGGCACAGTTCTGCGTTACACCGTTGGGAAATGTAAACACGCGAGTTATTCTGTGTAAATCTAATCTAATTACGGCACATCCGGACGATACGCACACCGCGCGCGCGGAACGTACGTGTCGTAGGTATATCGTTAGCAATTTGAAATTTCCATGCGAACTCGTTACCGGGAAATCTCGAATTCCGCCGCGGGGGTCCGCAATCAGGTCGCGGAGCGGAAATTATTTTCTGTTTGGCTCAATCTCCCCGCAAAGGCCGCGTGACGAGGGTGCTAATTACGATGTGCGATCCTAAAGCCGCTACCGTATAGCATCGATTTTCGGGCCGGATACTGTTAACAACGATGCTGTTAACAGACGCTTATTTTGCATCAGAAAACTTAACGGCGACGACGAAGCGATCGCGCGTCGTAGATCGTGCAATTTGCACTTTTCTCATCCGCGTCATGGTGTATGATTTTATGTCGCCGACGCCGTTCTCCGTCCTTGATTTTCAAAGATAGCAGACCTGCAATTTGCGGTCTTATTCTTCGTATTGTATACTTGATTGTACCGTGTTCTTTTTACGTCGTGATTACTTTTAAAACTTATATTTTTTAGTCATTAGGTGTTGGACGATAAACTTAAAGTTGATTACTATGAGAATAGATATTTTAATCTGTTAAATTAAGCTGATAAATTACAGTGCTATTTTAACATTTTCATTTTACGCTCGTTTATAAATATTCGCGGATTATTTATTAATTGAAGAAGAAAAGAGTAATTTGTATCTTTAGAGCTTTTCGGTCTATTTACAAATTGTTGAATTATTCAGAAATAATATTAAGAAATAACGTTATTATTAAATAAATATTAAATATATAATTAAAAAGCTTTAAATAAATGCTTAAATAAATATATGCTGTTTCTATTTTGTGAACTTTTAACGTTTCGCGCTTGCCAGTTCTGCCATCAGTATATATATTTTCGGGCTATTTGCAAATTGTTGAATTATTGAGGAATAAGCTCTATAAATAAATATATGCTGTTTCTGTTTTGTGAACTTTTAACATTTTGCGCTCGCCAGTTCTTCCAGTATACATCTTTTTTTTGCACGCACGCACGCCTAATGACACCGATCATGCAATAGCGTGCACGTAACTACGCTTTCGGATTTATCGTCATTGATGCATCGCAGTCATCGTTGAATTAGTGTTTACGGGCGCTTTGTCGCGACATATCGCGGTGTTTTATCAACCGACATGCATACGCGATGTATTTTATTTCGTCATGATATATCTCACAAACGTGATCTCATCGCATATATCAGTCAATCTCCATGCACGAGATCGAGATGACATATGAGTGAGTTAACAGGATACTCCACTTCCTGCCACTTCCTTGAATGTTAATAATAGATTGTTTCATTACTTCGGGTATTTCCAATACTATACGAGTTCCTTTTAACAAAAATACCAAAGTGGCTCTCGAATTAATTAAATCTGCAATATGAGAAATTAAAAATGGATCGTATTAAGCGAGTCGTGCCGTTAAAAATGGATAATGGATTAGCCGAGATTTCTTCGTACAATATTACCGTGCACGTCTTGTAAAATGTAATTATTTTAAGATTACGGCACAATTTTGTACAACCAACGCTGATTGGGGCCAGATAATCTCCCTCCTCCTTCAACCGTATCTTTCTAACTGTACGTAAATAATAATTTTGTCATGGAAAAATTTTACATAAATAATAGCGAACGCGGCAAACGCTAATGGATCACTCGTCTACTAAATTAAGACTCTTTTACCGTGTAATTCACGTTGCCGCTTCGTGCTTCGTAAATATCCAGCTCTTGGCAAAAGCATTACATTTTATCGCCAGGTTTTAGCCGGCTCGATAAAACACTCGCCTGATAAGGTGCCTTTTCGAGCAAACATTTTTTTCTCTCGATATCAAGGTTATCGCTTTTTCTCGAGGATCTCTTGTTGCTACTAATTGTTATTGCCGTCGTAATTAAGCATTCGCAAAGAAGGCCAACAAAACGATTCAACCGTGAATGCTGCACGCGATACCAAACATAGTTAGACTTACGTAAACGAGATATCTGTGTTTCTTAATATTAATTGTCGCGTAATATTAATTCTTACTGCGATTGCATTTGGAGGAAATTAAAAAAAGTTCTTAGCGTTTGCGTAAAAAAAGAAACTCGAGCGTTCATAAAGCGCAAAATCTGACGTTTGTAAGCTCGAATCGAATTGATGTACGTTCGAGTCGGGCATCGAAACCACTTCCTTCATCGATATAATACTTTTACTACTTAATATTCATGCGGTCGACGCAGTAATAAATCATCATTGCGGCTGTTGTCCGGTGCACGCGCTTAAAAATGCACATTGAATGCACATAGCTATTTATTTACATATTCATCTATCGTACAGAGGGAAAGTTCTACGTAAAATGATACGTTTTGAAGCGTTTTCCTAGCGAAAACGTATAATACATAAATTCCGCGCGATGTCGTGCGCCCATTACGCCAAGATATCATTTACGTTATAGCGATGCGCATTGTTTATTCAAACGGAAACTGTAATCTAACGGTGCCGCGTTCGTCTGTCCGCTCTTGCTCTCTTAAACTAATGACCGACCGGGAAAAATATGCCGTTAAGTATTCTCCTCCTTAACATCTATAAAATGTAATTACCTGCGAAATTAGGTCTTTCTGCTCACTGCCTGCGGCCGCGACTTACATATATTATACCTTACGACTTACGTATATACCGTTTTCACATACCGCCGACATTAACTTGGGCTATATTTCGGCGCATTTTATGTTTTCTCTAAATTTCTTGGAGTGGGAATATTGCCACTCCAGTGAGATTTCACTTTTTTGGAGTGGCAGTATTCCCACTCTAAGAAATTTAGAGAGTTCGAAATCGATACCTACATATTTCTACGACGCGTTCTTACCTATATTTAAAATATTACCGACACACATTTAATCATAGAGATCATCAAAAAATAGAAAAGTCTTTTAGATATTGCATCTTCCAAAAATTTTCTTATTATGTCGCGTCGCTGAAACTCTCGGAGTTTTTACGTGTCGTTTTACTTAGGCAAGATAGAAGGAAAAACAGTACGTACTTTCGAGAAATTGCTTCGTCGCTTTTCTTTCATCTTGTCTTCCGTTTACACACGTTTCACAAAAAGGATGTATGTTCAGGCACTTTATCTTTGGTGGCTTTTCATTCTAACATTAAGAATTACTTGGAATCTTTCAACAAGGCAAGAGGAAAACAATATTCCAAAATTTTTAGAATATTTTTGATATAACGCACAATGTGTCTCTCTCTCTTATTTTTCATTAACTCCAAAAATAAATTCTCATTTAAAACTCCTTTCTCTTCTCTTTTCATCTCTTTGATTAAAATTATCCCGTACTTTTTACGCATTTTAATTCAAGCGCGAGAGAAAAATAGTTCCTTAACATTTTTCAAAAAAATTGCGCTAGAAATGTTTCTCACACTTTGTCTTTTGGTTCACAAATCTACTTGGAAAATTTGCTCAGCCGTCTGTGTCTCTTCTTTCCTCTTCCATTTCCTCGATTAAAAATCAATCTCAGCTCCTTGCGCCGTGTGGAACGACGGTCGACGACGTTCTTTCTTTCACAGATGCTATCGCGAGACTTGACTTCGGCTATCGTCCACAGCCGAGTCAGTCCACCTTGTCGATTATGGAATATTGCCTCGATATCCATGACTCGGCGTTTCATCTAGGAGCTCTGGAAATTTTCACGATTGGAAATCCGCGATCGAAGTGGTTCTAGCGGCGGCCCCTTATCCACTCCTTAAACGTAGCCGTCAGCTTCTAATTTTAGGGCGGCTTCGTACGAAGGTAAGCCCTGATCGTCCCTCGGGATATCCTCCCGCTTGTTGATCCTGTTGGCCTCCGACTCGGTGGGCAAGCTGCTTATCGGGGGCGAGATAATACTGCCGGGATCGTCAGACTCGTCCTTCTTGTCGGTCGGCGAGGGCAGTGCCCGAGGGTCGAAGATGAGGCTTTCGTAGGCCGGCGGCGGGCCCGAAGTCACGGGGCATGGCGGAAGAGACGTGGGCACTCCCTCTTCTTGATGAACCTGAGACGTTGCCGATCTCTCGATGCACTGTTGAAAGAAATGGAATCGTTAAACCAATAACTATGAAATACTGGAATAAAATATTAGGAATAAAAAATGAATATGTAAAAATCCAAAATGAATGACGCATCAATAGCTCGTCCACATAATAAGGACGGATGCTTTCATCTTTCATATTTTTTAAATCTGTGTATTATATCTTAAGCATGATGACATAGATGTAGATCTACTGTTCTTTGCATATAACATTTATTTTTTTATTTGTTTAATGTTTTATTATGATTGATAATATTGCGCTTTATTTCTCGTTCCTTTTATCTCGTTTCTTGTATCACGTCGCGTCTGTATTCGAGACGGTCGCTATAGGTCTGAAGGTGCGAAGTATGCACGTTGTCGCATTGCGGCGAGCAATTTCCAGCCGATGTTTCTCGCGCTCGTGTGCCTTTACGTGTAACGCGAGGGCGTGGTTTCCGCAAGATACGCGAATTTTTATTTAATTGCGGGCGTATATAACCACAAAGGTGAGCGACTGCGAGAGGTTGCGTAAAAGGTCGGCATGTGGAAATAAGCGAGTCGCGGTGCGCGCGTTATTATGTCGAGTGTAAGTGGTATATGATTCAAGAGTAGTTTCATGTAACATTACGCATCAGGATATACCTCAGATCTGGCGAAAAATATTTTTGGAACTGCAATGTAAATGCCCCAGATCTGAGAGATATCCTGCGAGATCTCGTTATAAAGATCTTTTTACATCATCGGGGAAATAAAAGACTTCCCGTGGACTGAATGTTAGACGTGTAGGTAAACGGTTACATGTCGATAAATTTCGGATTGACAATTTATATGATTGGATTTAAAATTTATTTTAATCATCAGCAGATATGGAATTTTTTTTAAATGTTGCTGTTATTATTAAGAAAGACAATATAAAAATTAAAATATTTTACATATAAAATATATTTAAGATTTTTTATATATCTCTCTCAATTTCAATAGTTTATTTACTTAACGATTTTATACAGCTAGAGAAAGGTCAGTATGCTATTTATAAAGAGCGATAGACATCTTATGATGATTTATGTCTGTCGAGAAATTGGATATCTGCGATTAGAGTGATCTTTCGATCGAAAATGTTGCTTACGTGCGTGTCCATGGTGAAGACTTCTAGACTGTGAATGTCCGGCTCGGCTCTCCAATATTGCGAGTACTCCTGCGGTCGATGCTTCCGGACGTTTTTGTGACAGCAGTAGCATATGAGCACGACCATCATGATCACACCGCTGATCATGGCGCTAAAAGCGAACCAATATAGACGATGTTTAGACGGTGCTTTTTGTGCTGGGAGGTGCCCGTATACGCCCGCCCGAGGAAAAAAGCGTGGCTGCCATAAAGGGCGGGCGACTGGTGAAAAAGTGAGCGTGCTGCGGTTTTCCCTCCGGAGGGAGCAGAAATTTTTAAACGCGGCGAAGTACAAAACGGTCACTTTTAACACCTGCTGCATTTTGACGGGTCAACTTTTTATAGCGATTTAATAAAAGAAAAGAACTGCATTAAAAAATACACTCAGAGAAATGGACAGTTTGTTCAAAAATTAACAAATGGATAATCCGATATTTTTAGTCGAAATTATGAAAAGCCGATCGAGATTAGAATAATGTCCAATCAATCATTGATAATTGATCGGCTTTTCATAATTCCGATTAAAAATATCGGATTATCCATTTGTTAATTTTTGAACGAATTGTCCATTTATATATAGATGTACCCTTATATATATTTTGACAGGTGTTAATTCGAAAGATAACGTTCTTCTTCGTTTTATACGTGTATAGAATTTTATTGCGGTAGATAATTTAAAAAATAAATATCTTGTCATCGAAATGTATGCGTAATGCATATATGCATAATGCATCGTTACCAGTGTAATTGCGATAACCATTTGATTAACATTTATTTATCATAAATCTTCTTATCTTAAATTTCTAATAAAGTAACTTGAGACAAGAATTCATTACTCACTGATTTAATAATGGCACTTTAAATTTTTCTGCATTTCTATTGAAAGTTCTCCGTCTCCTCGAATCCCGAATTCAATTTTACTTTGCGGAACATTTATTATCAAACTCCGTGAATATGTTTTGCAAATTTTTGGGACGCAAATAGTTAAAATTAATTTATGTAATGTTCCTTTTATTTATGTATCATGCCAATATAAATTTTATGTTGATATATTTGTGAGTTTAAGATAGACATTTTTACGAAAACTATCGTAGGATTTTTGTAACGAGGAAAAGTTTCAAATTTCAAAGAGAGCAACGTTATCTTTCTTCAGAGCTATCAAGTTTGCCAAGTTTTGACTCACAGATCGAATCTCTCATGCTGCTCCACGCGGAACAACCATTGAATTTTCAACCACCGGATATCTAAATCTAAGCAATTGAGTACTTTTGAGTGGTGTCTCGTACATGCAACGATCTATTTGACGTACAGGATACGATCCGTCGGAGGATTAAAGGACCAGGGCGGGTGGTGCGAGAACGACGCGCGTCTCTTTTCAAAGAGCTCGGGATTAGGCGTGTTCGCCGTGAGATATCTTCCGCCTACATTTTGCGAGCGGTGGCTGTCGGAGCGCATCTGTCCGGCCGGCGCGGTTGTTACTCACCCGCCAAGAAGGATGTTAACATTGCCGTGCAGATCCGCGTCGAAGCGGCCGCTCCTGCTGGTCGACGAGGAGCCGTTATGCTCCGGCGGGGCGTTACTCGCATCCCCGTAAGCGTTGCTGCCGTTATGATAGCCGTGGGCCCTCTGCACCGCGGCCATCACCGCTATCTTTTGCATTATCTTATTCTCGCCGTCCCGCACGTCGTCGATGCTAATCCTGTCTCCGCCCGATTTTCGCAAATAGCATTGGATCGCGGCTAATTGGCGCTTGGCGCCGGTGAGATTAATTTATTTTTTCCCCTTTTCCCTCTTTAGAGCTGTAGCTATTTCTCGAATCGCCCCGTTAGGCTCGTCAGAGTGATCTCGTGGATCGAGGTCGACGCGATGATCACGCGTTGCACATGCCATGCTACTGTCGATCGTTATCGCACGCGAAGATCGGAAGAATCTCGATCATCCGTGCCGCTCCGCCGTTGCGATCGTCTCGAAAAGGAATGTATCGTTTCCGGAAACGCCTCTCGGAAAAGCCCATCGGATGCAAGCCTCTCTCCTTTCCCCCCCGAGCACGATCGACTTCGCATTACGACCGGTTAGATCGCTCGGGGGGATCCTCGTAGCCAAATCGCACCTCAGACCTGGAAATATGCAGGATGTTCGTCTTCAATTTTCGTGTCGTTTCGCATACCGCAATTTTTAAATTGTGACCACGTATATTTCTTAATCTGTTAATTGTTGCGAAAGAGATTCTCTAAATTAATATTCGAATTGTTATTCTATAATTGTCTTATGATGTAATTTAAATATTAATATCTTAATTGTTATCTTATTACAAATAATGCTAAGCACACACATTAGTTGGATCTTATCTTAATATTTACATATATCAATGGATAAATTAAATTGAACAATGACTTTCTAACCCACTTTCTTAAAAGCTCGAGAAAATCAATTTTGTACTTGAGGACATAAATTTTAGATTAATCCTCTTTGCGTTTTGAAAAAAGTGTTTATTGTTATTACACTGTTGCACGGAGATATGCTTGCAAAAAGATTCGTAAGAAAATGGTAGCGCACAACTTCTTTCTCAATCTTAAAGATTGGATCATTTTTTACGAGCTTGCCTTACATTCTCGTTTGTTTTTGCTAAATGAATATACAATATATACAGAGAGAAAAATTCTTACGTTGTATTTTTTTTTATATTGCAGTATTACAGTTAGACATGACAGGAATAGGCATTTAAACCGATTGAATTTAATTAGCAGAAAAGAATTAGTAAATTCGAATTCGACTCGGCGCGACGCCGACAGACATCGCGGTTGTTGGCCGCGTGTATTGTTGTTTCCGTCTAGCGGTGCGCTTCGACCGTTAAACGGAGACACTTTCGCACTGCGTTTCCGTTACAGCTGATAAAATCCCGGATCGCGTCGCGTCGCGTCGCGCGTCGCCGGCAGCGTGATTTCGCGCGAGACGCCTTTTTACGGAGTCGAGTCGCGCTCACGTCGCGACGCGGTTCACACGGAATTCCAACGCTCCAAATTGAATTTCTCATTGTACAATACTCACGTAGAGCCGTAGCTCCCGCCTGGCCGAAGGCTCGGCTTCACGGACACCCGTCGACGGTTTCGCTCGCGCGTGAGACGCGCGTGTCATTGTTGCTCCAGGCAGGTCGGATCTCGGCTCCGATAGCCGTCAGGATAACTGTCGCTTCTTGCCGCTGCCTGATCGCGCGATCTGCAAATAATATCTAATTGTGGATTTTTTTTTACTAATCGATCCCACACGTCACATTTTACGCGAAGGAATTTATAATATATCTTTCGATATACCTAGGAAATTGTGTATATTTTCTCGAATCATATTGAAATAATTTATCTCTGTCCCTTTATGACGTTTACGGCTTGAGAAAATAATTTATTATAGTCCGTCTAGTTTCGGTGAGTAAGTACGTCTAATATGAGCCGCTTCGTATTTCCAGTTGCTAATTGAGTTATCAACTTTGACGCGATCTATCATTTTCTCAGCGGGAACATTAAATGTTTACTTATAAGAATTTTGAACTCGTTGTGTAAACCTCAGAACATTTCAGAGCAAGAACGCACGCGAGAGACTGTTTCCCGTTTGATGGTGGAAACATATCCTGGAATTGATAAAATAAATAAGTAATACCGATGCGACTTCCCATCGGCGCTGTTTATATTTGCTGATTTCGTAGCAATAATTGAAAAAGCAAATATTGCCGGAATATTCCACAAGGAGAATATTCCCCTGGAATCCTTCCACTTTCGAGGCGGCGGTCGATATTAATTTTGAGCCGCCCGGTGCGATAGTTAATTTCAAGGATAATCTACTTGATGTTAATTTATTAGACCGCGGGAAAGAGTCGATATTTCATGTGGACATGCGCATGCAGCAAACATTTTTCTCTTCGACGAGAAGAAAATTTCAAACCTTATCAAAGATATTCACCGACAAAAAAGAATTCTTTAAACGAGTACGCGTTTCGAATTGTTATTCTATAATTATCCCACAATTTTAATATTATTTTAGTTATTACATTTTCATGGACATAATACTGGTTAAGAAGTTCTCGTATACCGTTCGCTTCGAGGCTTGGTGCTCGAATATCGATTCGCCAACATTGTAACGTGAACTTTAACTTTTTTTAAAACTTGCCAATTCCTTGTGTCTACCGCCGCTACAGCGTGAAACCGCCGTAGAGTCGGTAAACGCGTCGATCCAGTTTTTTTTTCCTCTCTCTGGGCGCAACGCGCGAACTTTCCGTATTTTTGTTTTTTACGTGCTTGAGAGGGACGAAATTGCATGTGAGGGTGGTTGGAAAATTTGCAACCGTTTCCTCGTTCCGTCTCGCGTTACCCCGCGATACATTTTTCTTTCTTTTTTCCCCTTTCTTCGTTCGTTCCTAGCGGTATTCGCGTTTTTACATGGCGCGTTAATGAAGCTGCAACCGGACGCGGTAACGCACGAAGTAAAAACTTGCGTAAAAAGATTTACCGCCTCGCGAGTACTTATCTCTTAATAAAGTTCAATTGCGATTTCGTTCGCTTGGGTAACTTTTACTAAGGATATTGCATAAAGATCATAAGTCGATTATATTTAGCCTTTTATTAAAATAGTTTGCCTTGAGATAAGCTAATATTATACCTTGCGCTATTTTTTGTTTAAGCTAGTCTGGAACTAATGTAATAAGTGTTCGAAATATTTCGTATCACAAATAAATGTATAATAACAAAACGTAGGAATTAACTCTGTATCGTTTTTCTTAGATTAATTTCGAATATGCAATTGATATCATAATTACTCGATAACTTGATATTAAATTAATTATAATATATTTGATGTTATAACATTACACGAATATTGAATGTAATTTCGAAATATATCAAAACAAGTTAAAAAAATTGACAATTGAAACATTTTTAATTGTATAAAATTTAATTATTGAAAATTTATCATTTTTGCCTAATATTATAGATAGGTTATATTTTTTTATTTAATCAGATTATATCAAGTTATTACGTTATTAATTGCTTAATTGAACTCAATCTATCAGGGAGAAAAGAGATAAAGCCCAATTTACTTCGACGTAGTTCATTTTAGTCGATAATGAGTACAGCCCATACGATGACATCGTGCGTCCCTTTATATGACGTGACGGATTAAAATCAATAACGGTTATTAAACTTATGCCTTCGGCCGTTGCAGGGCATAGATGCATGAAAGACGATATAACTCGTAAAATCCACTGGTAACTTATTGCGTTGCGTTGAATTTTAAGTAATTTTTGACTGTGTCTAAATTGACACTGAAAATGTATATGAAGCAGCATGAATATACATATTCAAGAAACGAGATTGCTGTTTGAAAACTTTGTCTTTCGAGACTCTACAATGGGAATGTATGTCGCCTGTTGCAGATTCGCGCAAATGAAGGACGTTAGATGAGGAAGTTTGCGAGACCGTCTGAATTGCAGGTAAGTCTATAACGCAAAGTCATATGAATAATCTCTCGAGCATAGTGCGTAGTATTATTTAATTGCCTCGTGAGATTTTATCTGTGTATATACGTTGATTCGTAACACGAACATTCACAAAACGCAAAGTATATTTTATTCCTAGATTTTATTTTTGTTTTAATTAATAATAGTTTGTAAATAAATGAATAATATTGATGTTATATTGTACAAATTGTTTTGATCATTTTATTTGCAATTTGCAATTTAATTTTTGAAAAGCGTTGAATGATATACATAACATTGTAATTTTTCATCGTGTATTACATCATAAAATCTCTGTATTATGAAATCACGATGACAATTTGTCGCGTTGCATTAATTTTTCGATGCGCGTTCAATATTCACTTAATCGGGTAGAAAATTTCCACTTGACCACGCTGTTTTTGCCCGAAGCGAAACTAATTGATGTCTCATTAAAAGAAGTATTCAATTACGTTTAATACTAGCTCAACATTGTATCGATCTAATCAACTGTTATGGCAACCTATCTTCTACCTCATTTGGATCTAGAGTTGCCGACTATCCAGCTGCCCATTTAATCTAATCAACCACCCGTCTACCTGCTCACAATTATCTCAGGAGGTCACGGCGTCACGCGATATACCACCCGATGTTAACTTTATTTAAGTTTACCCATCGTAGCATCTCGAAATAGCGTTATCACGTTATCGTATTTTCCCAAATGCTCGTTGTCTATAGATTTCTTATCTGCGAGATATCGGCGAACAAGAATTTAATTCAAATCAGTTTAATTTGACAATCACTCGATATTCAATTGCGCAATCATCATTGCTGAATTGATGCAATCAATGTTTTTATCTGTATGACGATTAAGCCGTTGAATAGAGATAGTTGTGGAGGCTATTTATAACCAGAGGTCCTCCAACTTTCCTCGCTTTCTAATTCATGAAGTGTCAACGTTGCATTTATGAACGTTTCAATTGGGCTTGCTTGCTAATCGACGACCTTGGCTTACATCAACTACGTTGAACTGGGCAACGTATAGGAGCGTGATAGTCTCACGGCATAGTTATGCTTTGTCCGTCGTGACGTGTATCTGCCGACTAAATCTTTCAAAGAGATTATAATTACTCAAGGTCGTCGAAATCTCTCGATATTGATTGCAGCGTTTTGACGATTTGCGTATCATAATCTGTGATAACGATACAAATGCGAGAACCTTTCAGTTCTTTTTTGCATTCTTCGTTCAGTCAGTATTATCTTTCTCTTAAAAATCATTTTGCACAAGTAACTTTGCATTATGGTATAAGTAAATAGAAGGAAGAGGCAATTATTATCGCTCAAAAATCTTGTTACATGTCTTACATCGTTAAGCACCGTATTATTATATACATTAGTCGTACGGTAAATATGATTTTAGACGGTGTTGCTTTCCGAGATATGTCGAGGCATCTGCCGAGTACTCGTATTAATCGTGGCGCATTTGTAACGCATCCGTGCTTCTGATCCACTTCTTCCCAGGTCGAGCCGCACGCCCCAGTGCGTTCTTGTTGCATTTGCAGACGGGCTCTCGACAGAATCTCTAGAACCCATCATTAATATTATTCGAATAATCTTACGGCTATCGTATCAACCTCGATTTCCCAACGCCGATCAGGAAGACGTTCCATAGGTTTTTTTTTTTTTACTAATTGGACTAACGAGACGTCGATCGTTGTTTTCATCCAGAAGGATATCTATAAATCTCCTGATGATAAACGGAAAGCGATGTTCTCAATTATTCGCGATTTCCGTCAATTATTCACCTTTTTTTGTCTTTCCGGAGAGATAAGCCATCAACGCCAACCGTAATTGGAGTCTCCTCTTCCAAATAAAGCCCGTTATACGTCTCACGGGCCGCTTCGTTTCTTGGCGACGCGAACCGGCGACATTCAGCGTTAGCCGGACTAAAGCGGCAACCGCACAAGTTTCTATACCTTCGCAACTTTTCCGAAGGCCGACTTCGGAACTCTTCGAATTATTCACCGGAATGCCCCCGTACGCCGACGACAAACGCGGATTCGTGCACGGGCGAGAGCTGCGACCCCATTTTTGTCTTCTGGATTCCGAGCCGAATTATTCCGCGATATCCTCGCGTTATCGCGACTCGCGCGCGTGTCGATTACTCGTTTTGCTCGCGAGCATGTTGGGCGACAGCGACATCGCGACGTGACGGTTGTCGTCGACGCCCCGTCACATACTTTTACAACACGCCGTTACTACACCTGGTGGGATCGATGTCGGTGACTAAAACATCTAGAACACGCCGGGTATTACGGGTATTACGTACGTAATGCCACCGTTCTGCGTCGCCACCTAAACTTGCCTTTACATATTGTATAGTCGTGTTATAGGACGTGATAATCCAGAAGGGGGGAGGGAGGGAGGGACAGCCGCATTTGTTAATTAAAATTAATTTGTGTCTCCGGCATGACGGCCATCGTCATTGCAATGATATCAGCCTTCAATCTTTAATTACTTTAATTGAATTTAATTCCCTCTTAAACTTTGCTTGACTTTTAGCTTAATCGATAAGTTCATTTTGTTTCATTTTAATTTTTATAATTTATTTAATTTAACAAATTGAATAAATTACAGCGAAATACAAGGATCGTGTAAATATTTTGTACAACGCGGGCCATCTAATTAATAGCGCGCTAATTAACGTTACGTCGGGGAACGTTTCAACGATGCAAACGAGGCATAATGTAAGTTCCGCTTAAAAAGACTAGATTTGCAGACAGATTAACTATAGAATCGCGCTTGCCGTGAAATGCAGTTTAATACATTTCTTAAAAGTTCACGAAAAGTTTCGCGGGAAGAGGGAATTGCGCTCAGTAGGGTGCGGCAGGGCTATTGGTCTTGCGAGGAAGTTCGAGCTCCACGGAATTGTCTTTCCGACTTAAGAACCTCCGTTAATTCGACTCGATTTTATGGCAATTAGACCTCGTTGAGTGGCGAAACGCCTCGAAAGCTTCTATTCAACGTTCGGAACACTTTTTCACATACGTCTATTTATAGGACGTATTAAGAGTCCCTCCCGATCTAGATTTAGATCGTAGTTTCGGGATTCCTGCTTATTCGAAAAGTATCTTTCGGTCGAAGTCGAAGTTCGTCGCGTCGGTCCTTAAAGTTTTCGTTGCCCTCGGGGACAACGAAAGTGCGAGATGTGAATAAAGGAGGGTTGTAGATAACTTGCGGGAAACCGCGCGTGTTCACGTTACCTGCAGCTCGCTAATTGGAGTCGTCATATTGCCGGTGCTCCAATTAGTTCCCCGTCGTCGTTGTAGGTACGTAACGAAAATTATGCACGCCCAGTTAACTCGCATAAATTTTGACCCCGTATCAACTTGGCGCAAGTTTAACCGGCCGAAATCAATAGCGAAATAATTTCGATACGTTTGCCGGAATGCGGTGGAATATTGCGCTTACCTCGAATACGCGATGAAATACGCCAGACTTATTGTTAGCGGTATAGTATCCCTCCGTTCTCGGCATGAAAAATTGATAAGTCTCACGGACCTCCCGATTTCCGTACGCGAGCACGGAAATCCATCGTGCGTTTTACGCTATTCCCAAATGTACAATAATTAATATTCGAGGAGAGATCGTCCGGCTATAATTGCTTCGTTGCTTTTAATTAACGCTTTTAATTAAAGCGATTAGTCGCGAGAGATGGATCAGATTACCTTGAATTAATTTAGAACGAGCGCACTCTGAGTTATTGTAAGTCTTTGTTACGGTGCATTCGTACTTGTGCATTATCGACACGTCTATCTTTCATTGGCACTCAATGTTTCACAGATTAAAATAGGATTCATTAAGTAAACAGAAATCATAGTTTCCAATTTCGAACATTATAATCTGGAATTCTAGATCATTACTCATTGCTATTGTCACCAAAATGATACGTTATCAAAATGTCTTTTTCCCAGACACTTGTTGGCTCATCGAACAAAAATCAATGAATTTAACAAACTTAAATTTTCAAGTTTCAAAATCCGTAAAATAAACAAAATTATTCTTATACGTTGTAAGTTGTAAGTATTACCATAGAATGCTCTTTCACTTGAGACTGTTTTACTGAGATCGTTCTAAATATAAATCGGTCTATAAGATAAGCAAAATTAAATCGACTTTCAAGAATCAATGATATAAACGGAATTGTGATTGCCGGTGCACTATAAAAGCGGTGCGCTATGAATGTTTTCTCACCTCAATTAAAAGTCTATCTCTCGCAATTATAGTTGGACGAAGGCGGGACTCTCAAAATCTCATAAATCCCGAATTTTACAACAAACGAGATCGCGCTCTGAAACGAACTCGTTGGCAACCTGACGTCTCGAGCCTTCTGCGTGATTGCGCGTGTATCGACTAAAAAGACGCATCGAAGGCACGTGACATACGCTGTACGCCGTATATGGCCTATGCGCTCTATATATAGAGCCGTGGGTGCCTTCGCACCGACCGACGTGCGCGCCTGGGTGGGTTCGCCCCCTTCGGCCACGCAAAACCACGTCGGCCTTTTTTCCCCATTTCTCGTATCGAACGCTCTCCGACTCGCGCGACCCGGCCGAAGTCGATCGTCACGGGATAATGCATTCTCCGGGAACAAACGCTCGCCGCGACGAGAGCGGAAAAGGGCTTTAAATGGCATCGCGACTATAGCGGGCTCGCAATTGAGGGCCCGAGATAAATATCGATCCGAGATTGCAAAGTGCAACGCGAAGGTCAAGCGGCAAGTTGAAATGCAACAAATACAACGCTACCATTCGGATTATTATACGCCGCTGCGAACGCGATCGAAGGATTCCGCGGGTTCGAAAACACGCCATCGCGAAAGCTACTTTTGCAATCAAGTAAAGCTGAAGGAAGAAACAAGAGTCTTCTTTTCCGCTTCTCCAAGATTTAATCAAGGAAAAATCTTTCTCTTGCGAATTTGAATAAATCGTTTTAATAATTTTTATTTATTTTTTTTCTATGAAAAGATGTTGGCTTTTTCTTTTCACAGTTCCTCGTGGAAAAGATGGAAATATACACACCAGGGAAAATTGGAGTCATTATATAAAGAGTTGTTTAATGATGTTTAATGAGAGTTTAATATTCTTTCTCTTACTCGGAATATTATTATTCCTGGAAGGAACGCTGCGTTTTATTTCACATTATTTAAACAATACTTAAATAACGTTAAAAATATCATATTCCTCCTGAAGCAATTTAGTATCGTTCCTACGGAATTGCTCATTAAACCGACGAGATTGGCGCTTAACTGATTTCAGAATCCATTTTGTCATTATTCAACTAAAAAGTCACATTTGTGGATACCACTTGTTTTAGGCTCATTTCAGGCTATTAATTTGAGTAATTTTAAGTTCACCATATTTTTCTCTATTTTTCGTTTATTTATGCTTATAGACAATTATTCGCTTGAACTGTTCCGTAGCAATATTTCGCGATGCGTCAGCAATGTTTACCGTTATAACCTACCCGTCGAATAGCTTTAATCGCGATAACGACGTCAGCGAATGATACCGTATCTTCCAGATTGCTCCAGATATATATATATAGATTAACTCAGCCCGCTGCCATCGTCATTGCCAACGATGTTTCGCGGTGATTAAAGTCGACAACACGTGTTACCGCGGGGCGGAATAGCGGTGCCAGTTGTGTTTTTGCCATCCGCTGTCACGACATCGAACGTCATCCCCGCGGCTTGTAACCGGCCGGGCGAAATTTTACAGCGCGAAAATTAGCATCGCCGTGACCGGGAATGTAACGACGTTTATTAAATGCCGGCGCGAGAGGATCCTTGAAGCCCCGATGACTCGCCGCGAAACGTGCGGCAGCATATCATTTTGTATAATCCAACTGCCGTGATTGTTGTGTCGACCCCCGGCGCCGCGCCGGTGTGTGTGTGTCGCGCGCTCGCGAGGAAATAATAATTTAAAGATCCTCGCGGTGGAAGCGGAGACACGCGGGACGTCGTCGTCGTGTGCGTGCGGGCGATCCGGGTTGACCATCGCCGTGCGATGTCATGTTCGTGAGTTCGTGATAGCGGCTGGATATAATAATTGTTTGCCGTCAGTAATGAGGAGGAGTAGGAGAGCGAGGAGGTGCGCATATTTCGCGAAATATCCCGATCGTCCTTAATCCGTTGGCGATATAACGCGAGAGTGGACGCTCACACGCCAACTTTCGTTAACGAGAACGATCGAACGCTAATTGTTGGGCCACTATCGATCGACGACGACCGCCATCGGCGATCTCGTTAGCTCGCGTGTGGATTAAGGTGGGACGTGTGTCCGTGAAATTGTTTACGTTCGATTGGAGCGTAATTAAATGAAACGAGTGGTGATCTACGGTGTTGTCCTATCCCCGAATATTAATAGCGGTGCCTCATAGCGTGCAAAATGTGACCTTTGTGGCTTTCACGTAGGGTGTTGATGAGGGGAGACGGGCGAAAAACGCGCCCACTTGACATTATCTGATGGTCTCCAGTTTCGTTATCTAATCGGTATCGCTTAATTCGAAGCTTGTTTTAAAGCTGGATATCTCCCCGCTCACGGAATGCTCCTATCAATTCTAATTAGGAGCGCTATTTAATATTCCACGTACTTTTTTTTGTTCTCCGCTCGACACGCGTATCTTTCAACGTGCGCTGAAAGAAAAATTACACTGTCGAGAATAAATGAAATTATCGGTGTTTTGCTCTGATAATCGAATCGGAGGCGAGGCTGGCACGAAGCACAACAACAACAATTTAACAATTTAACATATATCGTGCTTTATTAATTTATTTATTCGCCAAACGATGAAGCCGACGAACGACACGCGCTGTTAAGGACGTTCACCGGTCCTTATACTATAGAGAAAATCGAAATTCTATAGATTTTCTTGAAACTGTGAATATACGTTAATTTAGGTGTGCTTTATGCGTGGTATAAATTTCACTACCTCTTGCGGTATAAAAATTGAGATACCGAGCCTCAAAGTTTCAATTTTTACCAAAATTTAATAAAAGTTGAAACTTTGAGGCTCAGTATCTCGATTTTTATACCGCAAGAGGCACTGAAATTTATACCACGCATAAAGCACACCTAAATTAACGTATATTCCACAGTTTCAAGAAAATCTATAGAAAATCGATTTTCCCTAGTATAAGGACCGGTGAACGTCCTTAATTAAAAAGCGCGATGCGAGATCGTTTCAAGTCGTTTCTCAGATAATCGGCCCAAATTGTACCTCGGGATTGAAAATAATTTTTTTCTCGAGCTTTTTCGACGAGCAAAATCCACCCGGCAAACGTCAGCCGCACCGCACCCTTCAATTTCATTTGATACCTTGTTGACACCGTGACAGGTGTCAATTTGCCAAGCGGGAGACCGACCTTTTCTCAGTGTACAACAACGGGGGTCTAGCTGGCCCGGTCGATCGCGCGCTCGGTCTCGCCGAACAGCTTTCTCCTCGCGATACCGTTCCTCCTGGCGATCGATGAACAATCCTGGCCGGTGTCGGTCTGGCCGTCGTCTATCCGTCCGTTCGCCCTTCCTTCCGTCCTGATGCAGAGACCACCGCGACGGCGACGACGACGACGACGACGACGACGACGTCGCGTCCCGGGGTGGTCGCACGTCGACGACGGTCCCGGCTGTTCGCGTCGGGGACGAATTTCCCCGGTCCGTCCTTAGTACCGTTTCGCCGGAGACTATCGGCGGCGCGGTGGTCATGGCACGCGCGTTGCTTGGCTACGCCACGCGATTCGCGGCCAGGCACGGCATTTAGGTATAGTTCACGTGTGCTGGAAGCACACGAGCAGCAACGACGCCGCGCCGTCGCTCCCACCATCCTCGACTTCGTCGTCCCTGTCGCGTCACGCGCTCCCTCGACCCACCCTCCCTCGACTCATATAACCCACCCACCCTCATCACCGCTTCTCCCTCTTCATCACCGTTCTCGGTGTTCGCAGAGAGACAAAGAGAGAGAGAGGGAGAAAGAGAGCTTTACACCACCTTCGTACCGGCGCGACGGTAATGTTAAACCACCCGCTCGCCTAATCGCGCGAGGGTGAAATTTCGGCCAGCTGGTCGCGCGCAACGTGGTTCAGCGTGGCGTGGCGTGGTGTGTGGTGCGGTGTCAGGTCGCCAGTCTCTCGCCGCGGCCCGATGTCGTCACATAGGTATCACGATGGGATCGTATTTCGTCTGAGCAAAGTGTCGTGGCGAGATTCGATCGGATCTCCGCGGAATTGGCTTCTCGATGTGGAAACTGATAGATCCGCGTGTGTACGCCGGCGATGCGCGTCGCTTAAGTTCTTTGCGTCGCGTCGTCGATCAACCCTGTTTACGGAGAGCAAACTCCGTAACACGAAGAGAAATTGAATTGCGGAATTAAAAATTGCGCGTTCCTGTTGATGCAGCTCTTCAATCGTTGTAACTACAGTTTAGCGAAATGTTGAATTAAATGTGTCATGTGCAGTCTAGCGAAATGTAGTAATAAATATCATTTGGATTATTTTATTAACTGCGGTAGTTGTTAGTATATTTTTGTTATAATTGTTAGTATATTTTTTATTTGCCGGATGATATTTTAAACAAAGGACAAAGTTTTCACCGCATTTTTTGAACGCAGTTAATAATCGCGATTTTTTGGTTTTGCTCTGGAAATCTGCTCAATATTTTAATACCCGGCGCTTTCAGTTTTCATGTCATTTCGCGTCAATTATTTATCATACCAAACCACGTGGAGCAATAAATGTTGATATTTTTAAAAGAGTACGTATAGCACGGGATGTGTGAGAATTTCATTTCTTTGTTCATACGAGCTATTTGAGTTAATTTCCCGATCCAGAATTCTCATTTGATATCGAATAAATCTGCCACTGCCTGCGATTGATTTTTTCGAATTGTGTACTGTTCTATTTCGCTTAGCCGCTTTGGCTTCGTGCATGAATGTCATTAGAGCTGCCTATAAATGCAAAACATGTCAAGTATATGTACGAGGAATGAAAAATAGCGGCGCACGAAAATGCTCTGCGATCGGTATTGCTTTTTTCCAACAACCTGCCACAGCTCGACGTGGCTCGACATTAGGGGTCTTGATTACAGCGGAATAAATTAGCATACGGGATATTATGATTCATTTTCGTGTCGGTGGGATCGAAACCCAAAGTGCCTATTCTCGGAGTAAAGGTGCCGAGGTGCCAAGTGTTGTTTGTGTAGTAATCAGAACGCACGTTCCGTCTAGACTGCCGGATAACATTTCGAGAGGCGAACGAGCTAAGCTTAGACCTCGCCTAGGCGTCCAAGGTGTATTTCTGTGCAATTCGACAGGTGGCCCTTAGACTCGCCGCGATAAGTAGCGACACTCGATGACGCCGGTCCTCTTTACGACGCGACGAGAGTGAGGTCAGGATAAACGCTCGCGCGGCCGTCTAGAAAAACATAGTGCCCTCAATTGGTTTCTTTATTTTTGAAATATTGGTCCGCGCGCCTTTTTTTGTAAGAGAGAAGTAAAAAAATTTTCAGTGATTCTCTTATCAATAAGAAAAATTATTTATTAAATTGCATATGTTTAATATATTATTTGTTGCGTTGGATTATTATGTAAAGTTACTGTGAAGGTGTTAAATGTTGTTTGCAAACGACAATTAAATCCCCGGTGGATTTGCGATTTAATTCGGTCTGTCGCCGGAAATATCGTGAGATGTTTCGCGCCCACGCGAATTTTCTTCGCTGTACTTATTTACATTGTATTTACATTGGCGATAAACAGAACCAGATGCATCTCGACAGATCAGATCTCGAGGGATGAAGATTCGCTCGGTTTTCCGACGGAAATGTTACGCAATATCGTATAGGCGACCGACGCCTGGCAAAGGTCCATAAATCCTCTGTGTGATCATAAAGCGGAAGAGCAGGTGCTTTTACGCGCGTACATTTACGTTCGAAAACACTTTCGCCGCGGTTCTTTTTCCGTCTCTGTCGGTCCGATGAAAAATGAAAGGAACAGACGTACGACCGAGTTTCCCTCCGTGCCGCCACAGGAGAATCGCCGGAAGTACCGGGGGAAACGTTTCCTTTCGGTCGCCCGCTGTCTAATCTCGAGATATACCATATATACGTGCCGTGTATTTATGCAAATGTTGCTTTCCACGTAAATCACGCCTTATCTCTCGCGTGTCAGCATCTGGGGATCTCGCGGTAGGGACGTACACATTTACATCTTGTTACGCGTTTAGCAGTAAACGCGACATCTTATCTCCGTGTCGCAATCAGAGGAGGAAGTGCCGAAAGATAAAACGTAAAAGACACAGTTCTCTCCGAATGGAGTGGCATACGAACGCGTGCCAGTGACTTACATTTATAATGTCGAACGACTTTTATCCCCCGCGCGACTTTATCGAATCGGGCAGCTTGGCGAGCGATCGCTATTCAGCGCTGAAAATAAAGGTAACGGAACCCGCATTTTGCATTGCTAATCTCGTTTCGCCGAGTTCATTGAAATTCGATGGGCAAGCGATAAACGATCTCCAGACGCGACTCGGGACGTCACGCGTCGTCGCGTCGTCGTCCCGATTGACACACCACGCGTTATGTATATAGCGACTATCTAGCGCGAAAGCACATCCGCATGATTTTTCCCGTTTTGTTTATTTGCAGACTCGTCAGAATGGTGGGTAGCATGCCCAGCGGATGGATGAGGAGGATCCTCCTCTTCCTCGTCCTGATGACCGGTATCCTACTGATCGCCATGTACGCCCACGCTCCGCCGCTCGCATCGCTCCAGCCGTTCGCGACGCGACGGTAAGTCATTTTTTTCAATATTTTATTTTTATATTTTATTTCTATATTTTATATTTTATTTATATGCGTTGTTAATTGCCTTTCAAAACAGACAGTTCGACAAGTAAAACTTGCGAATCTTTTGACGTTCTATTGAATTGAAATAAACTCGAAATCGTAGATGCGTTAGCCCAGTATGCTTAAAAAAAGCGCGCGAACTCTCTTTGGACTCCGTTCTATTCGGTATTTCAACTATTATTTTAATATAATATATGTATGTTTAATTTAATACATGTACAATTTTTGTGAGGAGAAAGAGTTATAGAGTATTGTGAGGCAAGTCCGTGCGAAGCGCAAGATCGCTTTTTTTTTCTCTTTTTCGATTTCTATATATTTCTGTGTTTTCTGTTAACACGTACAGCCAGCGCAGGTTCCTTTGCCCGCGTTGTGTATTAATCCAGTGCCTCTTCTGATTTTCTTTTTGTTACACCGCATGTTATTTTATTTTTTATTTTGAATTTATTTCGCACTCGCAACGCGATGAAATCGTGCATCGAAGAAGACTAGAGGACTTGCAGCGCGGCTTGGTTAATTACCTGGCGGGTAATGAAACCACGATCGGACCCGGGGAACGGCTCTACGAGTATCTGGAAGAGCCTAGGTAACGGACAGCCCCTCTGACCGGGGGGTGGAATCTTATGCTAGACACGAGATGTACCGCGCATTTCTCTCACGCCTCCCATTGGAACCCCCCCCCCCCGCATCGGTTTGATCCCGCTGTGTCTGGTTCGGGGAAAAAGCATTTTTGAACAGCCCTCTCCAGTTTCATGGGGTTGCAACGTATCGAACGGCACTGTACAAAAATTCGGTTCGAATTGTCACGAACGAGGGAAATAAAATTTTAAAGTTTTATAGGAAAAAAAAATCGCGCAGTCCCTCTCGAAGTCTAAATTTTACAGAGGGACGAAACCGCGCGCTCGTATTTCAGGGCGGAATTCGATTCTTCAATTTTGCAAGGCGAAATCTGTAGCGATATCAATAAATTGTCAAGGATTTACATGTAAAATTCTATACAGTATTTGTACAAATACCAAAATCTATACATTCAACATGTCAAACTGTCGAGATTTATTTCCGATAAACCGAATTGATCGCGCTTGTTAATACCCGTCCGTTTTATTTTCGTCTTTCATTTTTTTCCCCCCGTCGAATCAGTCACGTGCCGTTTGATACCGGCAATTCGGACGTTGCTCTCCCAATTAGGAAGCTATCCAGGCATGACCTGTAACACGTCGGCCGTCTCAGTAAACGAATTCCCGCGAATGTCCTGAATTTCCGCGCGGGCACTCCCTCCCAGGTTCCTGCACCTCTCTCGCCCTCCTCGCGCGACGTCGCACCTCATTCCGACGCGCTCGCCCGTTTAATCCACTCGCCCGAGCACGCCCGTCATGCTAAACGCACGCCTCCGCCCGCTATTGTTACGCACCATTGTCCCCCATATTGCGCGGATTGTGTGCACGGTTGCTGCATTTGTCGCGACCTCGCTTTGCGCGCGCGAACCCGACTTTCCCGGCGGCCTTCAATTCCGAGCACGGGCCTCGCCTCTGCCTTCCGAGGCAGACAACAACTCGCTCGGTCGCGAAGAAGTTAAAAGAACAAATTTTGTTGTTTTGCTTTCACCCTCATCCACGTAACGATTTCTAGCGCGAAATACAACCAATTCTCCAATTTGTAGCTTTTATTGCATCGCGAATCGGTGTAAATATCCGTCGCTCCGCTCGCGTTTCCCTTTCGAATTTCATCGGGTCACTCATTTTTCAGCCTTTCCTGAAAATCGAGGCTACTCGTTCATTTTTTCCATTCTTCCACCTCGGGCAGACGTTATTCCGTTCCCATGATTCGCCAGCTATTTTCTTGGGTGCTTTTCTTCGTTCGGCAAACATCAAGCTTCCCTCTTCTTCCTTCGCTTTTCTAATTCGAACGATGCCGACGATATCGCTTTTTGCACTTTTACTCCTCTTGCCGTTGTAATGTGCTTTTAATTTGCCAAAGGTACGATATTATCAGTTTGACCGACATACGAAACAAGTCGTGGAAGGTGTAGATCTGATCTTTTTTTTCCTACCAAAATAGATGGACTATCATGGTTCGCTTTCTTAATTTATAAAACTGTTTGCTTGTATATTATGAGACGAATTACTCTAACAATACAACAATGTTTATTTTAATTTATTATTGAATATTTAGTTAATAATTTCTTTAATATCTGTTTTTTTATTAAGATAAAAACATATCTACGTTTAATGTTCACATTAAATACTTCACAAGAAAGTGATATTTAACTTTTTGTGATTTTTTTCTATAGTTAGTCATTTATATTAATTACTTATGACGTTGTTAAGCTGATTTGTTAATTTCTTTTATTTGCTTCTGCGTTTAAATGTTGCATAAATTGCTATTATTTAAGCAATGATTTAATTATTAAGTATACGATATATATATATATATATATATATATATATATATATGATTGTAATATTTTTATAGAAATACAATATGTAGAGAGAGATCACTAACTGCGACATACTATTGTCAATCGCCATTTCAATCTTGCAAAATGGAATTCTGAGATAAAATCGCATGTTGTCTCCTTGAATGTACCTGTCATTTTTAACATTTTCTACATTTCAATTGCGAGACAGATGTCTGTTGAATCGCTTGAAAGAAGGAACATGATCGCAATTCGTGATACGACGAACAGTTGGAATACTTGGATGTGCATGTATTTGAGAATTTATTAAAGCAAAGGTATTTCTTTTAAAAAAACAGATTTGTCGAATTTCGATCTAAAAGAATCAATATTCCACAGTCGTACCACAGATTGCCAGATTAAAGCATCCTGTACATTAAAATGCTGCTTTAAAAGATCACGATTGAAATACGAATTCAATTTTCACTCGATCGTAGAACATTTCAAAGTCCATGGTCCTGGGCGTGTGTGGCGAATCGTTGCGAGAGGCGAGCAGTAAGGTCCTCGAGGACATCGTTGGCGACCTGCACCGCGCATTGCGGAGGGAACACTCGGCTGTTGTGGCCCAGACCGACGGAGAACATCGTTCTTGGCGATGACAGCGTCATTCTGCATCTTCAGCAGATCGAGTTTGTCACCGTAAATACGAGCGATCAGGAGACGAAGGATCTTCTGGAGCATGCGAAGGATATCTTCATCGGTGAGTAAGATACCTTACAACAGCTGTTTCAAGATTAATCATTATAGAAAGCGCACGCACTGCAAAGACTTTTCTTAATTTTCTGGGATATTCTCAGTTAAGGGGTAACACCACTGTAGCGCCCGGAGAAAACAGCCTAATTTTGACAATTTTTTATGGGAATATAGTGAATGGAATACAAAATCGGTTTAAAGGCCTTTATTGTACATACTTTAAAGTGTGTTCACAATTTTTTTTTAATTTTTTTTACATAATGGCGGCGCCAGAGCTCAGCAAAGGAAGCCTTTTCGTATTTTGCGGCCAGAAAGATTTCTCCTCCAATTTTTGACCTGGAACAAAAAACCAAAAATTTTTTAGTTTTATATAAGATTAGCTCGGGATAGACGTACGGAAATAAAAAAATATCATTTTTTGTAAAAATGGTGCACGTTTGAACAAAACGTTCATTATGAAACGTTTTGTTCACCACGTGCACCATTTTTACAAAAAATGATATTTGAAAAAATGATATACCCCTTAATAAAGCTTGTCGATCTCTCACATTACCGACATATATAAAAAACGTTGCACATACAGCATACAACATCACGTATTTCATATATTAAAGTTACATGTAATATATATGTATCAAAATTACAACTTATGTGTAGCAGGAAATTACTGAATTCCTTCTAAACAATCATTCACTTTGCTTCGCATAATTAAGTTGACGAGAAATCGTTGCTTCTTTCTACGTGAGACGTCCTTTTAATCGCAGGAAACATCAGGAGTCTGGTCAAGGTGCTGAACGCTAAAAGTCGCTCCGGTATCGATTCGTTCATCGTGTATCTGAGCGCTGGCAACGCGCGGGGAACTACCTTGACTCTGGATACTGACGAGTCATACAAGCTGGAACTTGTGCCGAAGGGGAAGATTCTGGAGGCCAGGATCACGGGGAAGAGCTACTTCGGGGTGCGGCATGGCCTCGAGACCCTCAGCCAGCTGATCTGGTGGGACGAGGCTACGGGCAAGCAGGGCGCTCTTCGCGTCCTCACGCGAGCCTCCATCGAGGACAAACCCGTATTCTCGTATCGCGGCCTTCTCGTTGATACCGGTAGGCAATTCTTCCCCGTCGAGGAACTGAAGAGGGTCATCGACGGCATGGCAGCCACGAAGCTCAACACGTTGCACTGGCACCTCACCGATTCCCAAAGTTTTCCGTTTGACTCGGCGCAGTTCCCGGAGATGGCGAGATGGGGTGCTTACAGTGGTGATCACATTTACACACCTGACGACGTGAAGGATCTGGCCGATTACGCGAGGATACGCGGCGTCAGGATCGTTGTTGAGATCGATTCTCCGGCTCATGCCGGCGCCGGGTGGCAGTGGGGTGAGTTCTGAAGATCTTAAGTTCTAATGTGACATAAGTGCATCAATAGATAAATACATATATAAAATATGTAGTTCCAAATTTTGCAATATTCTTGTTGGCATAATTAGGTAAGCATTTTTACCACATTTTTATGACAATCAGGTACGGAACACGGTTTTGGTGAGTTGGCGTTATGTGTGGATCAGCAGCCGTGGTCGTCCTATTGTGGCGAGCCAAACTGCGGTCAACTGAATCCCATAAATGAGCACTCGTATCGGATACTCGAGGGCCTGTATCGGGAGTTATTAGATCTCACCGAGGTGCGCGATTTAGTGCATCTCGGTGGCGATGAGGTGAATCTCGAATGCTGGGCGCAATATGGCAATATCACCCTGGCTATGCAGGCGCAAAATATGACGGACCATCACGCGCTTTGGGCGGAGTTTGAGACGAAGATGTTGCAGCGGTTGATTCGGGCGAATCACGACAAGGTGCCGAAAGCGGTAATCCTGTGGAGTTCACCGTTGACCAAGAGGCCTTATATCATGATGTACTTCGACCCGAAGATTCATGTGATCCAATCCTGGGGCGGCAGCAATTGGCCGGAAACGCCGGACCTGCTGGAGGACGGCTTCCGGGTGATCCTGTCGCATGTGGACGCGTGGTATCTGGACTGTGGCTTCGGCAGATGGCGAGAGAGCGGCGAGGCCGCGTGCGGCGAATATCGCACCTGGCAGACTGTCTACAATCACCGTCCATGGAAGGACTATCCACCACAACAACTGCCTTTAGTGCTCGGCGGCGAGGCGGCGATTTGGAGCGAACAGACTGGACAATCGTCTCTGGGACCTCGACTATGGCCCAGGGCATCGGCACTCGCTGAACGATTATGGTAAACAATGTAGCAAAGTAATGTACCAAAGATATAATGATTTTTCCTAATAGAATGCTCATAAGAAATTTTTTTTTTAGGAGCGACCTACCGACAAACAGTTACTCCACGGACGAGAATGTTTACACCAGACTAGCCATGCATATAGAAGTCCTGAACAGCAGAGGCATCAAAACGGAGTCTATGTGGCCGCACTGGTGTTCCCAGAACCCCGGGAAATGTCTCTGACCGATCGTTAGAGATCCGTTAACTATCCATCAGTCGTCCCCCGAGTATTGTACTTGCGGCGCTGATAAACACATAAAAACGGAACTACACAAGAAGCGGCGACGTCAACCGCAAGTCCTGTCGGTAGGCGAAATCGATCTCATCCGACGCGTAATGTCATCGCGTATTCGTGATTCATGGGACTTTTCGACGATGCATATTCTGCCGATGAAACTGACAATCGTACCCGTTCGATAAATCACTCTCGACGGCTTTTCCACTCGCGAGAAACGAACGCTGAAGGATTCTTCGAAACGTTCGGTAAACATCGATATAGCTAATAATCAAGACGCTCTCTCTGCGTATGCAATGGATATGCAAACATGATAAAGCTGCGAGGTCACGCAAACGGTAGCGAGTAAGACGTGATTTTGAACTAACACGCATTAACTTGATATAGAGAAACGCGTGGCTGGGACACGTAATGTAGGACAAATAACCTTATGAAGAGGTTTGAAATCATGCTTTGAGCAAGCTTAGTTTTATAAGCGTCTACTTAACGAATCGAATGATTGTAATCAAGAACCGCGGAAATTCTATCGATGGAATGTTTTTGTGATTGTTATGCGTAGGATCGCTCGGAAACCGAACTGTGCATCATGAATGTTACAGATCTTTTAATTCCTCTCGATATCTAGACGGTATCATTATTTCGAGAGTAAATTTGTTGTCGGCAAAAATAATATATAACGTTTGTGAATTATTGTAACGAAATTAATATATCCGTTACGATGTTATCGGTTAAACTGTTTTTCGCTTTCAGTTTTCACTGCGTTAAAGTACAAAAATTTCGCGCTCGAGTGTTTCAAGAGTTTCCAGCACAATACTCGCTTTTCGACAAATATGATATTCTATCCCTCTCTTTCGTCTGTCGATTTGATGACGCTAGAATTCTGAACAGTGCTCTGTTATATATTAATCATTTAATCACGTTATACTGCTTGACGATGCATGATTGAGACAAATTGGGACAATCGTGTCCTAATATCGAGAGATGACGAGGCACTATCTCGATCGAGGCTCAATTAGAGTCCTAGCAAGAAGGAGCCTGTAATTAGCGAATGAGAGAGAAAGTACGATGGCGCATATGTACGCGGCATCAACGAAGCTTATTATCGCGTTATCTCTCGGAGCCCGGAGATGAATCGGGGATACCGAAGCTGTCACGGTCGTAGACTAGCTTTATCACTGAAACCAGCCTCAGCCAGGGGCAGTTTTATAGCGCGTAATTTAGCTTTTTAACAATTGAGATTACATTACTGAAAGTATAAGTAACGAAAAAAGCATGTGTGTTTGTGTGTGTATAAGTGCGTGTGCGTGCGTATGTGTGGTAGTGGTTCTGATATTATACCATGAATGTAGATTGAGAGAAAGAGTCCTTGTGTGTTTGCGATTAATCTGTATTAAAAAGTATGTATGATGAAAACGCTTGATGTCAAAGAGCTTGAGATTCGCTGATTCGTCAGCGTGCGACGCTAATCGAACTTTCTACTTATCGTCAACGTAAAAATGCTCAGGGCAGAGTAATACAATCGTTGGACGTTTCTTACGCGCGCGGAGAACAAACGATACGTCCGAGGATCTCTTACTTTATTTCTTGAACAATGCTAAGAATTTTATCTCAAATAAGAATTGAGTTTAATACTATTATATTATTCATCGAACGGATATTGTGTTCAATTATAATTCGTGAACATGATCGGTTTGAAACAGAAACAGTCAATATGGTGTGACAACGTGTTTTTATTTAAAAAAAAAATAATGATAAAAACTAAAAATTTGATAATTTTGTTTCGAAAAATAAGAGGCATTACACTGCACTGTATACTACGTTATTTTTTATCTAATAATGAAATTGCAGAGATTTTATTATCGTGTTCTGATTTCTAATTGAGTCCCGCGCTCGGAAGATGACGTCCGTATCATCACGAAAAATTTGACTGATAGAACTTACGCAAAGAAACTCGCCCAAAATATAGTAATTCCAAGATGCATGCGATCGTCTAAGCGATGCGAGTGATTACGAGCTGAGAAGTGAGAAGCGCGTGAAATTCGCCCCCCTTAATCCGTGTAGTACAACGTGGCCTATGAATTAAGAAAACGCGAGTGGTCCTTGGAAACTTGTACATACTTCGTAACGACGTAGGGAGCAACTTATAATATATAGATAGATATGTAGATAGACACAAATAGCTAAGATAGTTAGGTGAATCGATAGACGGTTATTTAGGCGAATAAGTAGACAAAGACAAATAGGCGAATCGCTCATGAGGGACGATGGGGGCGAGGAAATGTAATGCGAGTTCAGAAGAAGAGACGTTGGGATATCTGTACTTACCGATACTTACCGATATTGATGGCTGTAAGAGGAATTAATTCTCCTATGCGTTTGTAGATACGAGATACAAGATCGTAATAACGTATTTCGGATAATAAATATTATCTTAAATTATGATGTCACTCGCAAAGAAGTATATTTAAATAATTAATAAAATCTGATAGAGGGAGCAGACGAAGAAGAGAAAGAGAGAGATTTAGATTTAGTTGAAGCAGCGTCTAATTTTCGAAAGATTAGCAGCTGTTGTTATGTAACTTTTCTATCATTTTGCTCGAATATTTTTGTGACATCATAATGCAAGCTAATATAGGTACTGAGGATTTTCAAGATTGAAGTTACGCGCACGAATTACTCCTCCGGTTATTTCTTATGTCAAGTTCATCTTAATATCGATTAACGAAACAGGGATCGATAGATGTGGAAGTAAGCGTTACGAGTAATAATAACAATTTATCGGTTATCGTTGAAGAATAAGAATTTTTCGCGATTAGGACGGTGATATTTACGGTACGTATACTTACGTTATGCGACTCTCTTCGGTCCGCAACGATGAATGTATGTAAATAAGACACAACTGTGAGTGTGTATGTGCGCGTGTGTGTGTCTCGACAGTTTTTCGAACTGATTCGAGCAGAAAGATATACTCTGTTATGACGTGTCTCTTACACGGATTTAACATAAAGTGAATTTTGAATACATCATCCTGTTCTCGCTTTATTCCCTACAAAGACTGTTCTATTTCCTTATATTAAATATACGTGTTGAATAAAACACTGTTATAATAAACGTTTGCCAGAAAGAAAAATCTCAGGAAAGCATATTCTTATATGTAATATTTATAAACTTCAAAGAAGACCCTAGACACATATAAAACACATCTAAAATGGTGTTTGTGATTCTTTGCATTGCCATTGGTCTTATCAGATAATATTTTTTCTCGTTAAAATTTGTAAAAATGTTTACTTCTTAATTCAATTAAAATTAATATATCAACACTTATAGATATTAGTATAACCATTTCGAAAATATATCCATTAAATATATCTTCAAAAATTGTATTATATCCTTGATAGAGCCATAACAAAATATTGACATCTGTTTTACGTCGCGTCGTCGGTATTTGATGTGGAAGTTGGGTCGGATAATATAATTAGAAATTCAAACCATCCGCCCTGCGATGGTTTGAGCTAATATTGACAACGGTCTATCGAAAAGAACTTTCAGAGATTAATCTTTGATGGATCACATTTATCAAATAACTGATTTGTTTGTATTTCTCACAAATATGTTGCATATATAGCATGATGAATATTTGACGATATTTACACATCTGAAAGAATCGAGTGATGATATGCGTCAGGTAGCGACGATGTAATAATAAAAGAATATGCTGGAAATTTTCAATTATCTCACAATCATCAGTAGCATTATAAAAATTTTAGAACGACGCATATCAAAGTTTCTACAAACTGTTAGTTTCCACATACAGCAACTGGCAACTGCTGTGTATCGCTCAGTCAAGAGATAAAGAACATATCGATGACTATTATGCAGCGATTTATTGTGCTGCGTTTATTGATGGTCAATTAGACTGTTGAAAAGTAATTTTTAAGAAAACCAAGAGGAAATAAAATTACATATAGGTCTCTTCTGTCTCTTCTAACGCGCTACGCAAACTATATATAATGATGTCTATATTCACGTGATATTAACCTTACAGAAATTTAATACTGTAAGTAATTATATTTGGTTAGTAATTTACTAGTTTTTAGGATTGGAGGTATCATTAACATGCTTTTATAATAAGTATACTACTTATCTTGAGTATTAAAAGCACTGTTAATGATACATCCAACCCTAAAAATAATAGTATAGCCAAATAATCACTTACAGTATTAAATTTTTGTAAGGGTTGATGTGCCTGCACGAAGCACAAATCAGATTTATCGGTGCTTAGTGCAGGCACATCAATATCACGTGAATAGACATCTTTATATGTATAGTTTTGCATAGCGTGTTAAGAGAGACCAATGTAATTTTGTTAACATTTCCCTTTCAAATCGATCATCATTTATCTGCGTTTAATGTTTTTATAATTTATCTTGACAATTCTGATGATGCTGATTTTAAAATTAATTAGACGTAAGGTAGAATCCGGTCGATTGATTTCTTTAACTTATGCAAATATATAATTGACAGTGGAATGTATATGTACTTTCCTAACATAATGATATATATTTTAGAGAATTAAAAGAGATACGTGCACGAAAACAATTTTCATTAATTTTCCTTGCTGAACGTTTATCTCCTGCGGGAAGAACGAAGAGCGCGTTACTGGCGCGGCATGCTGTATGGTGTATGATAACGAAGTGAATAATATGTTTCAATAAAAACATGTTATTCATTTCGTTATCGTGCACTGCAGTGGTCGGAATTAGTTGCACTTTCGAGGCGATTTTCAAGAGCTACGCCTACTTCTATCTCCTCGCCTCTCCGCTCGGCCGGAGAGCTCTACAAAGTGACAAGCGTGCTCAAGCACAAAAGAACTGTCACATGTGCGCAAAAGCTTGTTAGAGGTGTTATTCCTAAATCTATTCTTATCGAATTTCTTTTATTGAAATCTCCTGGTTTTTTTATTTTTATATACGCTATGAATATATTTATATCATAATTACAACGTGACAATATAAGAAATTATAAATAATCGTAATCTAAATAAACTACTAAATATTTATTTTTTCTATTAAATTATTTTATATTAAATTTTATATAAAAAAATTATATTAAATAGCTTAATTTATTATTTATAATATGTATTACGTATATTGATCTGTATATACTATTTGAAATATATATCTTTCACAAATCAAGAGCTTAAAATATGCTGTATGTGTATGACACAATCGCAATTAGAAATTGCGAATCTTCGACGTGCAACGAGCACGCGTTGTTTGCCGGACGAGCCGTTGACTCGCTCTACGTATTTACTTGAGTTTGTTTCCACATGCGTCATTACATTACGAGAGGAAGGTCCGGGGTGTGCGGAAAAACGTGTGTGATATCGCCCAACGCGCAGCCGCCCGATTTACGGCGATTATTCTCTGTCAAAGTTTCATATGATCCGCGATCACGTACACGCGCATATTCTGAGGAAAGTGCGGACCAAGCAGTGCTGTTGCTAGTACTTGTAACGTGAAACAATTGTGATTCGCGATAAAATCAAATTTAAGGTGAGAGATAGACATTGTGCCATTTGATTTCAAATATTGCATCGTAAATCGGCGATAAAGAGATTGCGATTTATTGGTAAGGAGAGCGGAGAAATTATTTGGAAGCTTCAACTGACACTATAATTACAATTTATTACCAGCGCAATGGTACGAGAGAAATAATTTTATTATTTAGATTAACATTAATTTTTGCATATTATTTATGTAGTAATGCTGCTAAAAAAAAACGTATCAGAATTTTAACGTGACGGACTTTATTCGTATATTTTTTTCTTTTTTCTTCTTGATAACGTTCTGGTAATGAAACTAATCTTCGACTATTAAATGTTCTTTTTTATGAATATAACTGTTGTTTTTTATTAGTATAACGTTAAGAGATGGACAAGTCTTTGTTGCAGTCCTTTAAGATTGACTCAAGATCCGACAATCAGAACAATTTTTTAAGAAAAGTTAACATCTGGGTTATAAAATAATTTCCATATAAAATCTTTGTCTTTAAATAATTATTTAGACATATAGTTAAAATATTTTATGTGAATAGTACCAGAAGCTTTTGCAACAAGCGAATAATCCGTTGTGTTATAATAAAGAAAAAAAAGCACTAAAAATGGTATCGTTAATGGAATATACAGTATGCAATATACAACAATATACATATAGCACGCTGAGAAAAAAAATTTTTTAAAAATTTCTTGGATCTAAAAATTTTTTTCTCAGTGGCATGAAAAATGCGTAAAAGTAAGAATTTTCTTCAAAACATTTTTACTCTAATTTGTTGCATCTCGTATTACCGTAACAGAAACATTAATAAACACGTGACTTGAATTTTTACATAAAAATGGGCTTTGATTTAAATGATAATAAAATACGATCGTACGCAGCAAAGATGCATAGATTACTATAGTTTTGCATCGTGAATAGAATGAATGGTATGAATGGCGGACGAAAATTCTGTCGCAATAGAAGAGAAAAAGAAAAATAACGTAGATTTTTATTTTTCCTGCTTCCTTAGCGTCGAGATGGCCGAAGCTGAAGTGGATCGTTTCTTAGCCGATCAGAGGCACAAATGCGATCAGTTGTTCGAAGGTAGGCTCGAATTTATATTATGTCTGTTCAATGAAACTAAATACGAAAAATTCGAAACATCATTTGGCTTCTAAAAAATTGCAATTCTCACGATGTTTCTTACGAAAAAGAGAAATTTACATCTCGCGAAGAATCCTTTAACGTCTTAAGAGCTCGAAAAATCTTCTCAAACTTGATTAGAAATGATGAACGATCGATCGGGGTCGGATACGGTGTTCTTCGCGTTAATTAAGTATATATAGTCGTTATATTTACCATCAACGAGAACGCCCCACGTTAGGTATGTCCGTGTTTGGCGACATGATGTCGGTGACCACCGGAATCAGCTTGTTCGGGGACAACGTCACTAATGAGGATCGATTGGAGAAGTATCGCGGCGTCGCCAAGACTAGCGTTGACGACGGCAACGGAACAGAAATTCGTCAATGCCCGCCGACCTTCGACGGTCTACTCTGCTGGCCGCGCACCGACGCGCCGGGAACAGCCACATTGCCCTGTCCACCGGCTTCAATAATGGGATACACCGACCTCGCGAGCGACAATCTCAGAGCGCTCGCAGTGGCCAGCAAGGTCTGCCTGGCGAACGGCGAGTGGTATCAGAACTCGGACGGCGTCGCCTGGAGCAACTACAGCCTGTGCGTGCTGAACAGCACGCGTTACATCATCGACAAAAATCTGAATTATACGCGGTGGTACGAAACGCCGGCGGAATTCGCGCTGCTAAATGTAAGCTCCGTCCTGGCTGCGCGGCTACGATCATCGATATCGGGAATCCGCCCGATTGTAATTTAATTAACCGCGATCGAATTAATAAAAACAAAATTTGAAATTTTTTGAACTTGATATTGTTTCAAGTTTAGAGAAAAATAAAATTTAGCCATTTATAAAATAAATTATGTTATACATATACAATTCTGAGTCTAATAACTACATATAATTTAATATTTCTCTATGAGAAAGACACGTATAGGTGAATTATTGTATAAACTACATAGATATGTATAATTAATTGTCATGCATTGTGTGCGATTATTACAGATATGTGAGATTATTTTTTAAAATTAAGCTTGCGCAACATAAATGCAGTAGATTTAAAATAAAACTTGTTTGTATGATAGTACAGCTATATTATTGTACTATTATTATTTGACAGAAATGGTTGCCGATTATCAGGATGGTATCGCATATCGGATATGTGACTTCGTTTACCACCCTAATCGTTGCCATGGTGGTTTTTTCCTTACTCAGGTGAGTGTGTTTTCCTTCCTTCATACCCGTCATGATCTCTCTTTAATTCCGTTGAGAGTCCTCCACTTATCGTTAATATCGTTTCCCGTATGTACGCAGGAAACTCAGGAATCCCAGAAATAGATTACACATGCATCTGTTTGCGTCCTTTATCATGAGAGCTTTTATGGCACTCCTCAAGGATTGGAGTTTTATAGACGGCATCGGATTGGCCTGGGACGTCGTCTTCGTCGACGGACAGAGCGCTTTTATCAGGGAGCGCAATGTAAAGAGAGCGCAATGCATAGATACTAATTATTTTATTATTTCAATTTACAATTAGTGATAATTTTTTTCTGTGACTTCTCCGTTCTGATCTTTTGCGTTTATATAAAAAGCCTCTGTGTTAATCTCATAAAACTATTTATGTTCTAGTCAAAATGGCATGACATAGAAGTTATCGCGTTAATCAATCAATCTTTAAATACTTACGTCTGCGTAAAGACAATATTCTTAAATTGTCTGTTTGGCTTCTGTTTCTATCTTCTTCTTCATCGGACAATCCTCATTTTCGCTAATCGACGTTTTAAGACTTGGGTCTGCAAAGTCATCACGAGTCTGTGGCAATATTTCATCGTGGCAAACTATTCGTGGATCCTGATGGAAGGGATGTATTTGCACAATCTGGTTTTCTTCGCACTGTGTACCGACACCAGCACAATAGCTCTGTACATTGTGCTAGGCTGGGGTAATATGGACAAATCTGTTTAAAACTGTTTAGAATCTAAAGCGATCTTATTAAATCTTATTGGAGTTTACTCAGAGATTTAATTCCGTCCCGAAATAGGTCTTCCCGCCTTGGTAGTGGTGCCATGGATTATAATACGGGCGACTATCGAGGACACTCTCTGCTGGACCACTAATGAAGATTCCTCATTGTTTCTCATCATAAGAATACCAATTATCACATCTATTTTGGTATGCCAAATAACGTATTATCAATGGGCATTCGTGATGTATGGACATTATCTTTTTCTTTCAGTTTAATTTTCTACTGTTTCTGAATATCGTTCGCGTCTTGCTTGTGAAGCTGAAGACGTCGGTATATCTGCAACGGAAGAAGATGAAATACAAGTTAATACATATAAAACTTTAATTAATATATATATGTATAACTTTATTACACATCAATTTATATCAATTTTAGATTAATTTTATTATTGCCGATAAGGAGGTTTACGGTACAAACAATATTTCTCGATGAAAAATTCAGTTAAGCATATATGAACTTTTGTTAAGCACATCCGCATTTATTTTATTTTTAATTTTCAGGAGATGGGCAAAGTCGACTCTGGTTTTAGTACCACTCTTCGGAATACACTATACCTTTTTCTTGGGATTATCTTATCACAAAGGGGTAGAACTCGTTTGGCTATTTTGCGATCAGCTGTTCGCGTCCTTCCAGGTATTTATGACGAAGAACCCACTCTCTGATATAATTTACATACTCACGCCGCTCACGCGCACATTTCGTGCTTTGCAGGGCGCCTTCGTGGCTTTTCTTTATTGTCTGCTGAACGGCGAAGTCAGGGCGGAAATGCGACGAGCGTGGAAGGCCCGACAATCAAAGAGGGAGGTCGATTCCTTCACCTCCGGGCACACAAGAAATTCGAGGGACGGAATCAATCGAAAACGGCATCGATCGGAGGGCGATGATGGCACCAATCTCGCGATTGCAACCATGAAAAAGTTGACGTTGAAAGGCATCTAGTAGAGAGCTGTCAAGTGAATGTTCAATCAGCTGTCTCAACATCGAATGTATTTTATTTACATACATGTAATCCGTCTAAATATCTAAAAAATACCAAGATATTGATTGAAAAAGTAATAGCAAATGTTTGAGAATAATGAAATTATAAAAGGGCGAAGCGTTTTTTTATATTTAGAGGAAGTATCTCTTTAATGTAAACATATAAACCTTATTGTAATTTTTCTTTCTATAAATACGCTATATTAGGCTTGTGCTACTTTTTCTAAATGTTTTAGCACACTCGCTTCATAAATAAATGTTTCTATGTGTACGTCGACGTTATAAGAATATGCATTAAATATGTATGACGATAAAGAGAAAGAAAATTAAGCGTTAAGAAGTGTCCATGCTTCCGAAAAGAATGATTTATTATTTCTAAAAGGAATTTATTTACTTTACACATGACAAATAATCTTTAGTGTAACGCATGAGATTTTGTTACTAAAATTGTCACTAAAATTGAAATTTTGCTTTTGCCAACATGGACGTTTATTACCATTATTTTTTAAGCTTAAATCACTTCTTTTAATCAGTACATAAAAACGAATAGCTTTGAAAGTTTAATCATACGAAGGTAAATGACTGCAATGTGTTCTCTCGGTAAGTTCCACCATTCTGCCCTGATAAGCAAGAGTGCCGTATCTGCAAAAATTTGGAGTTATATATCGATTCTGACATTTTCGACCTCGAGGAATTCATTCGAATAAACAAAAAAAACCATATCTGCAACCGTTTTTAAGATGTAAAAATGTCTTTTGTTATATCTGCTTTCAAAAAGGCTTAATTACGAAGCAAAAGAGTGTGTATTGTATTAACAATAAGCAAAAACGTGATATCTACTTTTTTATATTTTACACTATAAATATTGTAATTTTAGCTTTACAAAATGATTTCTAGTGGTAATTTACTTCAGAAAAAAGTAGGTTGTGACGGTTACATTAAAAACTTTCGAGCTGTTTTTCTCAATTTGGATGTTTTTTCAGATACTGCACTCTTTCTTAGCAGTGCAGCATTTAGTATTGATTATAGATTTCTGCTGTTGCTGTTTTTATCACCGCCATTTCATAACTTCGTTTACTTCATTTTTTTTTAGTCATTACATTCTGAATGTAAATCCTTCGATTCTACAAAAACATGCGCAAATATAACATATTAGAACATTTATGTTAAAAACAATATTTAATCTTTATTTAATATATTAATCATATTTGATTTGTAACAGTTGTGACGTATTTATATAAAGGCATGTGTTTGGCGGTATGAAAGGGAAAACCAAAAGGGTTTCAACCATGAAAAGAATCGTGGTGACGAGGTGTGAACTATCTCATGACACCCGAGACGCCCGGCGGAACACATTAATCGCCTGCGACGAGAAGGGTGTGTGCCGCGTTCTTGATTGTCGCGGCGAGGATCGGTCATATTCACGCGCACACGCGTGTACGGCGGCGTCTCATCTGTAACTCTCGGCCGCACGCGTCAACCCTCGCGCGAGCAATTTCCGAGATGGGTGTCGGCCTGCGGATTGGAAGTAGATTAAAGCCCGATTGACCAATTTGCATAATTGCGGGTTTCGCGGTTCTTCCCCTTTAGAAACAGCGGGACAGCGGGGGTGGCTGTCCCTTCCTCGGTCGCGCAAATACCCGAGTCCCGTGAAAAAAAGATGGAAATTGATTTTTCTTGAGTTCTCAACATGTATAGAAAAAAGAAAAGCAATAAATGTGAGGAAAATGAAATATATATAAAAATTAAGACAGCAAAGAAAAATTCAGAGATAAAATTTTCTTGTTGTTTAAAAAGTATTTAATTTTTTTTTACATTCTGTTTCCCAAATATAATTTCCAAACTAATTTTAATTATTCTTTATCAATTTTTGACGCCAATTTAGCGTATCAAATTTTGTCGAACCGTGATCGAAATTCTCGGATACATTGTATTTTATGAGACGAAAGATTGCAGCTATACATTGCTGCAAAGTACAAATGAACCGAATGGATACTGGTTTTGTATAGAAGTGTTCCACGACGGAGGATGCGACTGTGATTATTATAGTCGAACGGCGCAGATGCGACGCGTCCACCACCTGGTCCTCCAAAGAAATCTATACTACTCCAGTAAACCCACCCTCAATTTACTCGCTACTCCTACATCACGTTTAAAATGAATGTTACAACAAACTTCTTAAAAGAGAAATCAACTCTTTTCATGAAAAATGAAACCACAAATAATATCTTCACATCAGCATTTCTCGTGTACTGAATATTTTAATTGTAATATTAATTACAAGAAACGTGTCACATTTCTGGTAATACAGTTGTAGACTCTTAATTAAAGTTTCTA